AATGACGTATCAGCGGATTTAATCGATCATAACACACTTTTTTGTTACTGTAAACCATATTCAAACATCTATCAAAGCAACACTTATAAACAATTGTATTTTTTAAGTATGTTTTTAATACATAGTTCATCATATTTAAATATGCTTAGTGGCTATAACAATAGAATAGGAATAGAATATTCTGAAATTAATGTATGATGAGCATTTTACAAAGCACACAGCCGTTCATAATTTATTTAATAAATGATTTAATAATACCAATACATATTTATATAACTATACAAACACAAATAAATGATAAAAAATGGCACAAATAAATAATGATTAATACTGAATTATATATATATATATATATATATATATATATATATATATATATATATATATATATATATATGTTTTTCAGCCGACGAGTTCTATCTTCAGAGATTCAGCAGCTGAGATTGAGTCCAAAATCCGATGCGAGATTCATCCGTATCCGTCTCTCTTTAAAGATATCTCCCTCTTCTTCCTCACATCGTGTCTTTATGAAACTTTCCAAACAAAACGGAAGATTTAGGATGTATCTTACTTTTGACAGAGTGAAAGAACATAATAGTCTTTACCACCTGTGTAAACTTTGCCGGTGAATGTTATAACACATATAAGTTTTATAATATTTGTTGTTTCATTTCTAATATAGGCCCTTGTGTCAGATAATCTAAGTCAATGTTAGAGAATAATTAATTTTTTTTAGATTTACGGAATCTCAGTTAGCCTTCATAGCGGGGCTGAACCCATATTACACCAAGCACTGTAGCTAATATTAGCTGGTATCTCGCCGGTGGACATAAATACAGTAAAGTAATATTCTAATCAATGTATACACAATAATATGTCCATCTGACTTGTGAAATGTTGTCTGTGGAGCCCTCACATCAATAATCAATAATCCATCGACCAGAACAACAATATCCCTCAGTGCTGAGGCATCTTCTGCTGTTTTGGTTGAGCAAAGTAGGAGGGTATACCGCTCCAAGATGGCCGCCGTATTTCCTGCGCCAGAGCAGCCAATGCGGGGTCTACTCTTAAATTATGTCTGACTGCAGCGGCAGCGTGT